TCTACATCATATTACGGCAGGATATTTCATTTTAAAAACAATGATATGAGAGGGTTTAAAAACTAAACAACTCTTACAAAATAACTTCATGACCGAGATGACCTCTAGCCAGGGTGACCAGGTGATGGAGATATGCTTTGTCATCTCCATAAGAACCATACTCATTTTCAATCTGTGTCATATAAGTTAATCTAATTATCCTTTCATGAGATAAGTGGTTATTGGTTAACATTCAAAAGAGAAGAAATGCCTAAATCTTAAAAAATATTCAATCATGCTGACATTAAGTCCAATTGTAATCAAGAAAATCCAGCAATCAGGAATTCACAACAGTAGAGTAATAAATATCAATTAAAATAGAAAAGTGTTGGCCAATGGCAATCTTTTTGATAAATGGCCAATATTTAATTAGATAAAAGGAAAGGAAAAATAAATATGCTTTTTCTTGTAGTGTAATAATCAATAAAATTACCAATTTAATAACATAAATGTTAAAACCCCCAATTATTTCAAAACCTAACTCACAGGAACTTTTCTACAATTTCGTTCTCTTTCCCAGATCATCATTCTTACAAATTAAATATATATTTCTAATCCTTAGCATATACCGAATCTAATGGGATCATCAATTTCTCAAACAGAAATAATCCAATTTTTCCAAAACCTAGCTTACAGACACTTTTCTATAATTTCATTTTCTCTCCCAAATCATCATTCTTACAACTTAAATATATATTTTTAATCCTCAATACATGTAAAATCTAATGGGATCAACAATTCCTCAAATAGAAATAATTATAAAATTACTCATAATCTTAAGGGACTCTTCCTCTACCCGATTCCCTCATGTAACTCTACATACAAATAATTCCCTTTTCTCCCGTACCTAGATAAACAGCAGTCAAAACTAAAATAGAGATCTTCTTGGTCTTCTCCTCTAAGTGCCCCTCGGTCTTCAGAGAGTGTAGAAGAGAAAAAAGAGAATGTAGAAGAAAGAAGTCAGAACTGAAAAAAAATATCCTTTTGGGAGTGCCAGAGCACTCAATCTATAGACATCAGGATTCGCGGAACGGCTCGTTTCAAATCCAGAACGGCCCGTTCTGGAATCTCACATCATGTGTAAAATTCACATCCAGAACGGCCCGTTCTAGGGTTGCAATTAAACCTATAACGACAATCTCTGGAACGGCCCGTTCTCATCCTTGGAACGCCCCGTTCCAAACTAAGAATCATAGGCAAATTTAATGATTTGGAACGGCCCGTTCCAATGTCGGAACGGCCGGTTCCGGGCTACCAAAAGTAGGTCTATTTAATAGTTTGGAACGGCTCGTTCTGGCCTACTAAATCACCTTAATTGGGCTCTTGGCCCAGTGAAAATTGGGCTATTACAATTACTTATCACTTTTCCTTTCATAATGTTTACATATGATATTTGTAACTACTTGATGCATTAAATTTCATCCATGTTTAAATAATTTTTTATTTATTTGTTAACAGCTCAGAAAAAAATATAAACAATGCATTTCACTTTAGTTTCTTTTTCTTTTTGCAAGAGCTCAAAACATATTATGCTTGGCCCTAAACACTAAACCGAATCCTAAGCCCATACATCAAACTAACATTGTGGACAATGCCGATACCCTTGGAAGTGGTTCACATTTTTCACAGCAGAAGAGGGAGAGAAAGTCTTTTGTTTTGGGTGAGGGTGTGGTTCCTCGACGAAATTTTATTTTTCTTGGACCCTCCTTTTGATTTTCCCCGGAAGGATTTTATGATCAAGATGTTAAAAACCTAATTTGGTCCCTTATAATATATTTTTTGTTTCAATTTAGTCCCATTTTAATTTTTGGTTTCAATTTGGTACCTAATAATTTAAATTAGTGCAATGTCGGACTTCCGTCCAAATTATTTAAACGGGGTTAACTGTTGGCCACGTAGATGTCACGTGGATGCCACGTAGATGCATAGGTGGATGCCAAATTTCTTTAATGTATCTATAACCAGAAAGGCCCGTTCTGGTTCCAGAATGCCAAACACAAACGGTTGATGATTATAGTTCACGCCCGTGATTCTAAATCACAGTTGTGAATCGTGCAACGAAAAAGATCCAAGGTATAAAGCATTTCAAACACTGGATTTGATAATATTGTCAATATGGGGATTGATAACTTCAATTGCTAAATATTTAGGCTATACAATATATCATTAAGGACAGTGCAATGTATCACTTAGGACAATGGTGACAGGTTTTATTTCATTGTTAGTCAAACTGGAGTGAATCACTTATTACCAAATTGACACTATACAGTTAAGGATGAAAAGACATGGTATTTTCCCTTGAAGTCATTGACCGATGTACCCTAACAACAACAACCTGTTCTTAAGGAAGTACAACCTGAAGTAGAGGAAGAAGACACACAGGACCAACATTGTACCACACAACCACATCTACAAGTAGATAATGTTGATATCCTTTCAGCCATTCAATATTATATGGTGGATAAAATGTATTATTGACACCTTCAGCGTTATCCAGATGATTTCCCTCCTCATTAATTTCTTTGAACTTTCTTAGTATATATTATGTTATGAATTTTTGTTTTCAGTCTCTGAACCATATTTCCGTCTTTGAATTTATGTTATGTTATAAATTTTTGTTTTCAATTTTTGAACCACATTGCGACATTTTGTTGAACATACATATGTGGTTGGCGTTCTAGAATGGCCTGTTCTGAATCCAGAACGGCTCGTTCTAAAACCAGAACGGCCCATTCTGGTTTCAGAACGACCCGTTTTGCTGCACTCGTGGTGTGTTAATTTTGCATCTGGAACGGCCCGTTCTAAATGCAAAATTAACACACAACATGCGCAACCAGAACGGGTCGTTCTGGTTCTAGGTGCATTAAAGAAATTTGACATCCACCTATGCATCTACGTGGCATCCACGTGGCCAACAGTTAACTCCGTTTAAATAATTTGGAAGGAAGTCCGACATTGCACTAATTTAAATTATTAGGGACCAAATTGAAACCAAAAATTAAAGTGGGACTAAATTGAAATAAAAACATATTATAAGGGACCAAGTTAGTATTTTAACCAAAATAAAACAAGGATAAATACACTTTTTTAATTTTATATGTTTGATTTAAAATAAATAAATATATTAAATTAATTATAATTTATTTAAAATGTTAAAAGTTAATTTATAAGTATGTAATAAATAAATATTTATAAGTTTAAATTATATTATCATTATAAATTATAAAATTAAATAATTTAAATTATAATTTTAAATAAGAATAAGTAGATTTTTAATTATAAAAGTAAGTACATATAAATAAAGATTAATTAAATTTATTATTATTATTATTATTATTATTATTCGTAATATAAAATTATTATATATTATTATTATAGTACAAGTATGAGATTGAGGATGACTTAAATGAATTGATTTGTACAAGTTATACTAATAACATGCATATACATTTCAGTATTTTATCTCATCAGAACTTCACAGTTAAGGACGTTTGACTTGGAGTAATATAGGGATGGGTGACCTTCTGGGAAGTTTCTCAGAAATTGCGCAAGTAAGGATAAAACACGCTAAAAAATAAAATGTCGTGAAATAGAACCCTTTAAAGGCCAAATATGAGGGCTGTTACATTAATAAATTTATTAAAATTAAACAAAAAAAATTTTACGGATAAATCCGTCGAAATTATATAAAGATTTTCAAACAATTTTCGACGGATGTATCTGTCAGAAATTTCTGACTTATAATTTCTGTCGAAAATTTTTGTCGGATAATTTTCGTCAGATAATTACTGACAGATGTATCCGTCAAAAATTTTCGACGGATTAAATTATTTTCGAAAGATTTTTTTTTCGACGTCCCTTTTTCAGACGGATTTCCATCCGTCGAAAATCTATTGGAAATAGAGAATTTTTGACGTATATTCCTCTTTTCTGACGAATTATGTCTCTGTCAAAAATTTACGTTTTTCTTGTAGTGACATTCACTTGTTAAAAAAAATGATTTCAATAAAATCAGTTTGAGCTAAATAAGTTTTTAATCTCCCAATTTTTAAGAATTTGATTTTTAGTTTTTTTTAAATTTTTTGTCAATTTTTAGTCTCTAGTTAGTTTTCTGTCACATAATAAATTAGTTATTGAATTAGGTATCATTTATTAAGTAATGAAGTGTATTAATAAATTATGATTGACTTGACTATTATTATAAACATGATTATTTAATAGATATCAAATTATATGAGATATATAATTTTATTATTCGTTCATTATCATAATGATAAAGAGTTGTATTAATAATATATTTTATTTTCAAAAAAAAATATCTGACTATGAACGAATATAAAAATTACATATATTATAAATTTGACATTTATTAAATAGTTACATGAACATCAATATTAAAATAATTATAATTTACTATAACATAAATCATTTCTTAACAAATGATTCATAAACTTTAAAACTAGTTTGTGAAAAAAAAAATTAACAAAAAGAATTAAAAATTAAATTTTTAAAAAGTGAGAAACTAAAAGCTTATTTAAACCGACCAATTTTATCCAACTTGAACTTTTTTAATAAAATGGTCCTGATCCGGGGTAGAAATGCGCGCCACCATTTTCTTAGAATCACTAGAAAGAGAAGATGCCACCAATCATTCTACCTTGAGTTTGGTGGCCACGTGTCGCAAGCTTATCTCAATGATGATTATGTCACTAATATCTCAAGCCTCATTTAAGAGGTCATAGATTTTGCTAGAGAAACGACAAAATAGAAGTGTGACTATGTGATAGCACAAGCTTAGCCAATGGGGTTCCTTGGTGTGCCAAAGTGACCCTCTTTTCTCTCTATACCTTTTGCCAGCCACCACATTAATTCTCTCTCCCAAAATGGACCCTACTTTGGAAAACTTTGAACCTGCTTTCTTTGTCCCAGCTACATCCCCCTTTGTGCTTTGGCCTAATCTCTTTCCCCACTTGATGACAAATTCCACACCCATAAAAGCCCTTCCCCTCTTCAAACCCCAAAAATTTCAATCCTCTCTCAAGCTTTGTTTGTGTCTTTGTGTGTTCATTTTTCACTAAACCCACCCAACCCTATTCACAAACATTCTTTTGATTTGTTTTTCATTTTCTTGGTTGGTTAATTAAATTGGGCATCATCATGGGAACCCCACAAGCCAATAACTTGCCTCCAGGGTTTAGGTTCCACCCCACAGATGAAGAGCTCATTCTCCACTATCTTAGGAAGAAGGTGGCCTCTATACCTTTGCCGGTTTCAATCATTGCTGAGGTTGATATCTACAAGTTTGATCCATGGGAGCTACCAGGTTTGTCTATGTTTAATAAGATCTATACATCCTTTTATATTTTTATATTAATAGTTTATAAAGTGAAGAGTAATTATACTCACCGGATTATTATTTTGAAGTGAAGGGTTTTGAATCAATTATTATTTTAGTCCATAGTCAAATGAGTTTCAACACACCCAATAAAAAAAAAAAAAAAATAGTCCCGTTCAGTTGATTGATCATAACATATGTAAGATATATTATTGTAAATTTCTTTGTTTTCGAGTTCATCCATGAATAAAGAGTCTCTTAATATATATATATATATATATATAAATATAGGTAAAAAAAATCTCATACTTATTATGTTAAATATAAACAAATCTAAATTTATTTCACTTTATTCTTCAAAAAATATATCTTCATTTAATTAAAATTATATTTATAATTTTTTTATTCTTATATCAAATTATATATAAAAGAAAGGTAATTTTAAAAAACAAATTACTATTTTAAAGTGAAAATAACAAAATTAACTTAAGTAAACTGTCCTTCTTAATTAGGGTTAATCAATATTTAAGTCAGGTTGAAGTGTGTGATTAATGTGCACAAGAAAAGTGTTTTTTTTTCTTTCATAGTGTGTGATGTGGACGATTATTTTGCTACTTTAACAGCTAAGGCTGCGTTTGGGGAGAAGGAGTGGTACTTCTTCAGCCCTAGAGACAGGAAGTACCCAAATGGAGCTCGGCCAAACAGGGCAGCTGGTTCAGGGTACTGGAAGGCTACGGGCACTGATAAGAACATCGTGGCATCATTAGTAAGAGGAGGAGTGAGAGAACACTTTGGTGTGAAGAAGGCTTTGGTGTTCTACGAAGGAAAACCCCCAAAGGGTGTCAAGACCAATTGGATCATGCATGAGTATCGTCTTGTTCACTCTAACAGACCCATTAGCCTCAAAGAAACCTCCATGAGGGTGAGTGGCTCCCACCTACACTTCAATGTATTTTATCATTATAAAATATTTGTTAGCTTCTTTTTAACATGTTTTTTATTCGATGAACTTTGACAGAATCTTATTAACTCAAGAGAACTGTTTAAGATATTGATGTATGATTTTTTTTAGTAAAAGTTGTTTGCATGGAAGAGTATGGTATTGTATTTTTTAAATAAAAATTTATTCTTTTGAAATGTTAACCATTTTCTTAAGGACACTGGTTAACATTTTTCATCCGATTAATTAATCAAAATCACGAGAATATATCATAGTTCATTGGATTTTATGGAATTTAATTTTTATATAGATTTAAGTTTTGATTAATTGTAATTAATAAATAACCATTTCTATTGTCTTACTCATTGCATCAATTTTTCGAGAAAAAAAAAATACAACTCACTTTAGAGGATGAAATAAATTTCAGTAGTTGAGTAAAATAAAATTAACGATAGATATAACATATACATTACATATTGTCTTATTATTAACCGTTGATATTATTTACTTAATTTAAGAAAAGTCAAATTCCTATTCTAAGATCTTGTTCGTGAGCCATATACTTTAGATATACATTGTTTTGGAAAATCTTGTTTTATAACTAAAGTACTACATTTATAACTAATATTGTTGATGGAAAAAAAATATTTATTTTTGCAACACCCACACATAAAAAATATAACAAGATACTTATTTGTTTTTGTACATTGTTTTGCAACACCTACACATTTTAGATCTCATTAGTTTACTACAAGAAATATTACATACAGTGACATACAAAAAATGTTACTATAGATACAATATATCTAAATGTATGTCTATTTGACATATAGTACATACAATTTAAGTATTAATTTTAAATGAGATTTAACAACATATTTTGTCTGTCACTATAATTTATATTTACTTTTTAACAATATACCAACATATGTTACATTTATTGTGAGAATAAAAATAGTTTTTAGTGACACATATTGTGTCGTTATAGGATATGTTCTTGTATCACAATTTTTTTTAGTGATTTTTAACATCTCCTTTGGTTTTGATGTATATATGAATTATTTAATATATATTAAAATAATAAATAACATTATCTTTTGTTTGTTTAGTTGGATGATTGGGTTCTATGTCGGATATACAAGAAGTCCAAACAAGTTGCATCTTCAGCCACAGAAGCAGCAACAGTGCAAGTGAATGAGCAAGATGAAGCAAAAGAAGATGAGAATAAAACCAAAGCACCAATCTCCAAGATTAGTACTCTTGTCCCTCTTCCACCACTCATGTCTCAGAAATCTTTGTCCTTCTCCAACCTCTTGGATGCCACAGACTACTCCATGCTCAGCACCATCTTATCTGAAAATTACCACTATTCCAATTACACAACTCCAAGTGATGAAGGCCTATTCAATTGTGAGAATCTGGATCATGAAACCCCCCAAAACCAAAACTACTATTGCAACAATAACAATAGTAATAGCAGCTACTTGTTTCAGAAGAACCCTTCAGTGCTTCCCCACATGGAAAACATGACCAGACCCAAGCACCAGCTTTCAAACATAGATGAGGACATGGTGTACCCTTCAAAGAAATATCATAGCTCCTCTTGCAATTTCCCTAACACCAATCTCCAAAACCATAACCAACAAAGGAACTTCATGTTCAAGCAGCCATTCATTAGTCAGCAGTTACTTCTAGGTCCTCAATATCTTCCATTTCAGTGACTATACTGAGAAAATATCTAGAATCTGTTTGGATACAAGTTAAAAATATTTTTAAAATTATTTTTAGTAAAAAAAATTCTCAAAAATACATTTAAACTTTTATCCAAACAGATTCTTAGTAGAGAATCTTGTGTGTGAAAAACTTTTAGATTAAGTGAGATATAATATCACAAAGACAAAAAAGAAAAAAAAATCAAGTCACAAGAAAAAAGATAAATAGAAAGAAATGAATTAGTAAAATATGCACCAGTTGAGCCTGGCACGTGATATCTACATCAACATGTTCATTTCGTAAGGATTAGCACACAGAAAGACAGCAATTATTTTTTTTTTTCCCGTTTTCTTTTTATGATATGAAAAGAGGTTTCATTGGATCAGTGTAACTGTTAGATACGGAATCAGAAAGCAAGGTTCCACTATTCAAGTGTCAAAATATAACAAAATAAATCCAGGATTGACAACGACGAATCACAGACAAATCGCGTGTACAAAATGTTAATTTGTACTTGTTGGATTGGGAAATTTGTTTTAATTATGTGTACTTTGTAGACTTGGTGTTGGTTGGTTTATGGTATTATTGCATTCTTTTTTGGGATTGGCTTTAAACTTCGTTTTGGATTTGCATTATCACCATTTAGCATTTATGTATAACAGTGCACCTTTTTCACTAAGTTTTATTCTCAGCTTGCCACCATGATTAAAACTAACCGCATTATTTAATTATTTCTCAATGAACATAGACTAAACAAATATAATTAAGAAGGGGTACTCATTTGATTCTATATAAGAATACATATAATATTCAAAATCAAAGTCGATCCATTAATCAAATATCTTAATATTAGAAAAGGAGCAAGAATTAAAAGAAAGTTTTTACGATTCATGTATAATTTTCATTGTGCATCCCTATCAGATACGTAACCATTCTTATTAACAAAGTTTAATACATTGGTAGATCCAGAACTTCTTTTGATAATTTTTAATTACGTCTCTATTTTTTTTTTAAAAAATTGTAAAGGTCCTCGATTTATTCTACAAATTTTATTTAAGGTTAAATACCTCTTTTCGTCCCTGATAACAATTTTTTGTTTCAATTTAGTCCCACTTTAATTTTAGGTTTCAATTTGGTCCCAATAATTTAAATCATTGCAATTTGGGACTTCCGTCTAAATGATTTAAACAGAATTAACTGGTGGCCACGTGGATGCCACGTAGGTGGATCCCAAAATAGTTGAAGACACCTGGAGCCAGAACAGCCCGTTCTGAAACCAGAACAGCCCGTTCTGGTTACACTGTTGATGTGTAAATTTTGTACCTGGAACGTCCGTTCCAGGTGCAAATTTAACACATCAACAATGTAACCAGAACGAGACGTTCTGGTTTCAGAACGGGCCGTTCTGGTTCCAGAATTTCGTGCACAAAAAAATCACTGTACAAAGCATTTCAAACACTAGATTTGGTAATATTATTAATGGAGATTGATAACTTCAATTGCTAAACATTTGGACTATACAATGTATCATTAAGGATGATGCAGTGTATTACTAAGGACAATGGTAACAAGTTTTATTTCATTGTTAGTCAAACTAGAGTGAAATAATTTCTTTGAACTTTTTTAGTATATGTTAAGTTCTGAATTTTTGTTTTCAGTTTCTGAACCATGTTTCTGTCTTTGAATTTATGATATATTATGGATTTTTATTTTCAAATTTTGAATCACATTGCGGCATTTTAGTCAAGATTTTGAACTAGATAAGTTCAAATCAAAGAAGGATTTTGGAAGGCCTTATCTTATTTGATTTTTTTTTTAGTTTTATTCATAAATGAATATTAATTTATTGTATTTTTTGTTTATTACATTTTTATTAATATAGATATAATAAAAAAAATACAATAAAAGCATGAAGTTAGCGTTCTAGAACGGCCCGTTCTAACAGCAGAACGGCCCGTTCTGGTTTCAGAACGGCCCGTTCTGCTGCACTCATATTGTGTTAAATTTGCATTTGGAACGGCCCGTTCCGCTTGCAAAATCAACACATAACATGTGCATGCAGAACAGGCCGTTCTGGTTTCAGAACGGCCCGTTCTGGTTCCAGGTGTATTCATGCCATTTGGCATCCACCTATGTATCTACGTGGCATCCACCTGGCATCCACGTCAGCAGGAGTTAACCCCGTTTAAATCATTTGGACGGAAGTCCCAAATTGCAATGATTTAAAATATTAGGGACCAAATTGAGACCTAAAATTAAAGTGAGACTAAATTGAAACAAAAAATTGTTATCAGGATGAAAAGAAGTATTTAACCTTTATTTAACGAGTCTCTAAAATTAATCTATGGTGGCTTATTGTTACAAAAATAACAATTTGTGACAATTTCTTTAACTTTAGATACCCAATGACAAAAAAGTTATAGAAGATCAAAGTCCCAAAAGTTTCAGGAAATTAGCAATGTAGTACACCTAATATCAGTATCGATATATAATAATATTTTGCTTATAAAAGAAAATTATTATACAAAATGCAACTACTATATTTTCTTTTATAAAATAAAGTATAATAATACACTCCCAAGCCAAGTCAAACTTTGCTACATATATATTAATTAATCAAATCAAAACATTGAGTTTGTGGTTGTGGTTGGAGGAAGGAGTATCGTGTGAAAGTAGTGTTATTGTGTTTCAGATGTCTTTTTCTACAATATTACTCCTTAACTATAGTACAAAAATTTGTATACTAACAACAAAAACATAATGTGTAAATATAAACTTGTAGTTAAATAGGTTGTTCTACTTTTCTTTTTCTGTCTGTAACCATTAAATCAAGATCAATCAACTACCGTAATGAAAGAGTGACAAGTTAGCTCATCCTTCAAGCTGTGAATGAGTGACTATAAACGATTAATTGCAAGTGAAAGGATCATATAATGCAACCATGATCCCTAAAAAAATAAGAGCTATGCATTACATTTCCAACTAGGCTATCAATTTACAAGACAATATCATTACCTGGCCTCCACACCCGGACAAGTTTATCATAGAATGAGCAAGTGGCCACAAGTGGTTTGGTTTTCCCATCAATGTGATTTGCATCTCCTTTCTGCCAGTCTGCTCCATAGGCAAGAGAATCATGCTTCTTGTAAGTTTCCAATACTTCGGCTTTGTCGCCTTTAATGGCGACAACAGCAAAACCATTGTGCATACAAGCAGCCAAGACCAGGCCTGGAATGAAGGGATGGTGCTTAACTCTCCAAACTCCTCCACCTAAATTAATTGAAGTCTTATTAACAGGTTTCGAGATTGACCTTAAATCCCATACCCTTAGGAGTTCATCATAGCTTCCGGTTAACAAGATATTTGGGTCATGTGGACTCTTCTCAATGCAACAAACACCCATTTTGTGGACTTTAGAGCTCTGAAATACCACATTGGGAGGTCTATCTCGCAAATCCCAACAACTAAACTTACAATCATCAGAGCCAGTATATACCAAATTTGGTTGGTGGATGTCAAAGGAGGTAGTCCAAAGTTCAAAATCGTGTGCCTTCCACTCTACTTGAATTTCCAGCTTTGATTCAAGAAGAGAAACAATAGACACAGAGCCATCAGAAAGCCCTACTGTGATGGATGTGGCTGAAGGATGCCAATCCAGGTACAAGCACATATTGTTACTGATTTTTTCATTTGTAATCTCCTTTAGATTAACCCCTGGCATAGAGTCAATAGCAAAGCTTAATACAAGTGAGCAAAAGAATGAGAGCACATCTCTTGACCAAAATACAAATTTCAAAATAAGATAATTTAGATGTTGTGAATGAGTTTATCAATAAATGAAAAGCATATCCAGCATGCTGCCAATCTATGACAACTCCTTCGCAATTTCCATGTAAAGACACCATATCTTATTGCTATAATGAAAAACAATAGCTGCTAACAAAATTATTAAGGTAAAGAAACTTGTTATAAGGTCAAATAATTGGTGTAAGTAGTATTGCAGAGTACATAAGGAATAAACCTTCCATTTAAAAAGAGCCGGTAATCAAAATAGAAACAGATTATAATCCCCAACATAGTCATAGATGGGAACCAAACCTGATAGAAGGAATGTCATATATAAGTATCACTGTTTTGACTACATGTGTTAAATTGTTATCAAACTGTTGAGTCATACTATAAATTCAAACGGTTTACAATTTTAAGTACAGGCAACCAATTCACTGTCATAGTCTCTTTCGAGATAAACTTAGGTATAATTGGTAAAGTCGTGCAAATTGACATAAACACAAGTCAATAAGAGTTAGCGAGTTTGAAATCAAATGGAATTTTTGACCCACAGCGAGTGTTTATGCTTGCCTATGTATGTGCTATTTATGAAGCCAAAGAAAACGCAACATTTTACTAGGCTCAAACCCTCACCATTGTTTGTTGTGTTAACCAATTGAAGCTTGGTTGTAGCATGGAGTTTTGTTGTTATCAAGCTTAGTGTTGTCAACTTGTCATTCTTCTATTGTAATGACCCTATGAATTCAGCATCCGTTGTGAACCACACATCACATTAATCCAAAGTTGTCAAGTCAACCCATAAAAAGCAGCAAGGAAGTGTGAGATATAGAGAGATTTTCACAGCCAATAAGGACTGAAGAGTTGTGCTTTCATAAGGAAAACTTGCAACACAAACACCACAATATCCTTCCAACATACCATGTAGCAAAACCACATAACTATACTTTCTGACGTTTTAATAATAACATGGATGGACTGTTAGCTTTGGAGCCAAACAAATGATAATTCAACTCGAGTACATGCATGCAAGTCCAAGTCTTTACAAATATTTAAAATTGAGTAATGTTTATTTTCAGTAAAATTTAATATTTAAATTTAAAATTTCAAAAAATATATTTAAAATAAATTTCACATATATTGAACATTATATTAACCGATCCAAATTAAGAATTTGAAATTAAAATTTTTTTAAATTAATTTACCTGAACAAAATATTTTAAAAAAATAAATAAATAACCTAATCCAAAGTATCTCCTAGTTAAAAGTTAAAGACTTATCCCTTGAGATACTAAAATTCATTTAATAAGTTGACCTCTCCGAATATTTTTTTTTTCATACATATCAATAGATATCAAATTCCTAATCACATACTTAAGAGACAAAAATATCTACTAACCATGCAATACCTTGCTGTATAGCACAATGACTATTTAAATAAAATATTTAATTATTAAATAAAAAAAAGTTGGTGTATATTTGAATTTAATTTTTTTTTTATTTTTTTCTCTAAAATTTAAAATTATTATTTTATTTCTTATTATATAATATTTTTTTAACAACTTATTTTTTTTATTAAAATTTCAATTGACATATATTAAATGTTAGTTATTACTATTGGGTAATATTATATTATTGTGTGACATTTTAAAATTCATTTTATAAATTCTTACAATAACTATTATTTATTTTTTTAAAGTTATCTTAATAACTATAAATTCTGACAATAAAAAAGAAAAATTTAAAGGGACCAAATCAAAATTTATTTTACAACCAAAAATAATATTTACGTAATAAAAAATAAAGAAAATTTTTTTACTCGAATAGAAATTAAAATTTACTCATTTTATAAAGAATAAAAACATATTTAAAATTTTAATTTTTTAATATATATTTGATAATATTTGCTTGATATTTTCATTACTGTACACACAATTTTCTTTGTTTGTGATAGATTCAAGTAAAAAAAAATTGTCTTATAACATGTACTCTATATTACATAATATTTATCATTAAAATTATTTTCTTATAATTATATTCTTATAGTAGTTAAAAGTGTAGGCATAAAATATAATGATACACAATATATGTTGATGAATTCTATTCAAAATTAACATTGAAATTGTGTATGATATATGTCAGAAAGATTTATATGTGCATATCTTGTATTTATATTGACACTTTTTGTATGATACTATATATAATATTTTTTATAGTGATTGATATGTATATTCAACACAAAGCATGGTTTCTTTAGTTTATTTTTTTATCAGCTAGAATTGTAATAACAGTAACAAAGTTTGAATATAAAATTATGTGCATATTACTCTAACCCTCCCTACTAGGTCAAAGTTTGTTAATTTATGTAGTATGTTAGGTGTTGTTATCATAAATAGATGGGCAAATAACTTGATGAAGACACTAGATTAGTGGATCATGAGTTGAATTAGTGGGTTTCTAATTGAATTGTATAAACTGGTATATTTAAATGAATAACTTTATATTAATATATAGTATAAAATAATTTTTTTCACACATATACCATAAATAATTGTTGGTCAATATATTGTAACATTCTAAGTTTTCTAAAATTATTAAAAAGATATTTTAATTAATTATATGAGTTTTAGAAAATATTTTAGAGCCTTTTAATTATTATGAGTGTTTTAAATTAAATAATAAACATTTGTAAAATTAATTTATATAATATTTATTGTAGAAATATATATTTTTATGATATTTTGTTATAATAAGTGTGACACTTTCTACCCCAGCATATATATACAATAATTATGAAAACATATTCTTAGAGTAAATAAATCTTTTAAAATAAAATCATGGTTCCATTAACATGACAGTAGAGAATTCACATTCGTAAACATACTCATAATTCACTTGCAAAAATTACAGAAGAAATAAAGGTTTTTCCAAAACAAAAGAAAGAAACTGAATTCTCAAACTAAGTCTAACTATGCCTGATTGGTGTGCTTCCACTTGGATGCACATAGGAGGAACTTCAAGT